CTTATGTATTGCAGAGGCTCCACAGGAAGCCTCCTTCACTGGGCACGTTGTAGCCCCATTTTAGGTATTCCAATCAGTTATAGGCAGAAGATGGACTTACGAGCTTTCTGTGGTAATATTTCTGGTTATTCCTTTCCCCCTCCAGTGTCTATTTTATAATGTAATGCAAGGAAAACAAGATTCAAAAGACAGTCTGGCTGTTTTCTTAATAGCTTTAGGTTTACGTTTGTTCCATGCACTTTCTGTTGTGTGTGTTGTGATAAGGAGCCCTGTGTCCTGGAGGTGGGAGCCTGGAAATGCATCCAGAGGAGGGTAGACCCCCTTGCCTGGTGCCCAGTGTCTCAGGGATCTGTCCTCACTGTAGCTTGAGGGGAGAAGATGCTCTCTTGGACTCTCCTAGAAGTAATTCCCGGATGGCGTGCCTGCATGCTTTCTCCCTATTAGGTGAGATTCCTTGGCCTGCTCCAAGCAGAATTTCCAGAGATGGGTTTGCTACACTGACCCCACATTCCCAGCATTTCAGAAGTGGCTTGGATGACTAGAAGCCCAGTAACAGACCCTGTCTCCCTGTCCACAAGGTTAAAGTTTTTGAAACATTTGTGATTTAGGCCAGCCTAACCCTATAAACATTGAGATTTTTGCTTTTGAAAGTGAGCTCTTAGTCATGGAGGCAGACTGTTTATGAAAGGCTTCCCACTGCCCCAGATGTGATTGAGTGAAAACTGTCTTGATTGGAGTGAGGATTGGATAGACCACTTGGCTAAAAGTCTGTCCTCTGTCAACTACCCTGCCTGGACCTGAATTCTGGCTCTGCCACTAATTGTCAACAACAGTTCACATCCTTAAACCTCTTGTCTGTTTCCCCATTTGTAAAATGCAAGTAATGAAAGCAGCTTACAGGGCGTGTGCCATTCAGTATTCTTATTTAACCAAACACTCTTGTGTACTTAGTATATGCCTTCCTCTACCCTAGTATTCCCAAGTGCAGGGGACACAGCAGTGAAAATGACAAAACAGCACAGAAAATCGCTTGACTTCTTCAAAGTTCTTGAGGTGGGAGCACTGTGCAGTGTTCAGGGAACAGCCCGGCAGCCTAGTGGCTGGAGTGAAGTCAGCAAGGGGGAGAGTGGTTGCTATAGGATTAGGACTCAATTTACTCTGAGCTAGATGGGACATCGCTGAAGCGTTCTGAGCAAGAGTCACATCCGACTGAACAGAATTCCTCTGGCTGCTATGTTGGAGGTAGACTGTGGGGAAAAGATGGGAACTGTTGAAATCCCTTGGTAATGCAAACATTTTATGCATTCAGCAATGAACCAAATGTTTGGAAGTTCAAGTCCACCAAGAGGTACCTTGGAGAAAGGCTTGGAGATTCACTTCTGAAAACAAAGCCACTGAAAACCCCCTAAGTACAATTCTCCTCTAACACACACACAACAGTTGTCATGAGTCAGAACCAACTCAATGGCAGCTGCGTGATTTTATTTAAATTGCTGAAATCAAGGTGGAGTCCTGGTGTGGTGCTGTGGGTTAGTGCACTGGACTGCAAAGTTGGTTTGAACAGCAGAGTTGGTGGTTCAAGTTTACCAGCTGCTCCTCGGAAACCCTATACAGGGTCGCTAGGGGTCAGACCTGACTCGATGGCACTTAACAACAACAACAACAACAATCATGGCAGGAGGTACTGGAGGCTTCATCAGGGCTGCAGTGAAGGGACTGAGGAGCTCTGTTTAGAATGTAAAGCCCAGAGGATTTGGGATGGATTGCTTGTGTCTGTGTGAGAGGGGGAGATATCAAGATTGACTCCAGAGGTTGGAAAAGGTTGCTGCTCTTTACCGAAGGAGAGCAGTCTTGGGTTGGAGATTGGGGTTCAGTCTGTATATGCCATCTCTTAGACACCCCACTGTCTTTGGATATAAGGTATAATAATGACTCTAGAGTTCTGAGTCACTGTCTAAATTAAAGAATAAACACTTAGTCATTAATGATTCTTATTAATGCATTTAGTTTTGTGTTTGAATGAGGCTATTTCATTATGTAAGGTCACTTCAAGATCTAACGTTTCAGATTTACCTAACTATGCCACTTAGAAACTCTTCCTATCA